ACTTTTATCGTCATTGCATTTTTAAATTTGAATTTGGAAATATTTTCATTTTTTAAATTGAAACAAAAAAGCAAGAAGTCGAAAATAAACTCCGCAGCATTTCTTCAAATATCTATTTTTATCATTATTATTACTATTATTATTCGTATTATTATTATTTATTATTATTATTTATTATTATTATTATTATTATTATTATTATTATTATTATTATTTATTACTATTAATTGTAATTATAATTTTTTACTTTTATAATTTGCTGCCACTTCGATTTAGATAAAATGAGGCGATGAAGACAGCCAAACATAAATAAGCCCTTAGCTGCATTTGCTGCTGCTGCTGCTGCTGCTCTCGGTTTAGTGCTTTTATTGCATGAAATATTGGGTATTTGGTTTTAAATGTAATTATATTTGTGATAATTATGATTTAGTTAAATAAATAATTAAAATTAAACAAAATAAAATTAAAAGTACCTTCCTTGGGGCCCCGGAAAGCTGAAGACTTGAGGGCCCCCATGACGAGGAAGGCGAGGCGCTGCAGCTGCTGCGCGTTGCTGCTGCTGCTGCTGCTGCCAGCGGCAGCAGCAGCAGCAGCAGCAGCAGCAGCAGCATAGGGGGGGCCCCCCTGCTGCTGCAGCGCCGACATTTGCTGCACACAGAGGCTTTGCAAATAGCTGCGGCTGTCTGCAATTTTGGAGCGAATGGCCTGAGTTAAAAAATAAAAATAAATAAATAAATAAAATAAATAAACATAAATAAATGAATAAATATAAATGAAGAAATAAATGAATAAATAAATGGATAAATGGATAAGTATAGAGCAAATGCATGCAAAAGAAACAAAAATCGAAAAAGTTAAATTAATTCAGTTTGTTCAATAAGTGTTCTTACTTTTCTGTACTTTAAATATTTATTTATTTTAAAATATTTTTTGTTAATTTGTTTGATAAATACAAGCAGAAATAAATAACAAGAAATAAACAAATAAATAAATAAAACAAATAAAGATAAATATAAAATAAATCAAAACTCCGAAAAGGAAAACTGGTGGAAAATGAACAACTTGAGAAGCAGAAAAAGAAATAAAAATAAAAAATCAAAAAATGAAAAAATGAAAAAAAGAATTAAAAAGAAAAGAATTAAAAAGAAACAAACAAGAGAGTCAATTGAAAACAATTTCATTTTAATTAATTAAAATGAAATTCAAATATTATTTTAATTAATTTAATTAATTTAATTAATTTAACTAATTTAATTAATTGAATAAAAATAATATTTGAAATTTATTTAGTCAATTATCAAAAACAAAAACCAATGGACCTCTCGGTTAGTGTAATGTCTGGAAAAAGAAATTTAAATTAAATTAAATTAAATTTCTTTTTCGAAATTAAATTAAATTAAATTGTATTTCCTTTTCAAAATTAAACTATATCCAGCTGAATTCCTTTTCAAAATTAAATAAACTAAATCCTTCTTTCAATATTAAATGAAGTTTCTTTTTCAAGACTAAATTAAGTTAAATTGAATTGCATCATATTAAATTCCCTCTTCAGAATAAAATCAAATCAAATCAAATCAAATTAAATTAAATCAAATCAAGTCAAATCAAATTAAATCAAACTAAATCAAATTAAATTAAATCAAATTAAATCGAATTAAATTAAATCAAATTAAATTATATTAAATCAAATTAAATCAAATTAGATCAAACTAAATTAAATCGAATCAAATCAAATTAAATTAAATCAAATTAAATTAAATCAAATCAAATCAAATTAAATCAAATGAAATCAAATTAAATTAAAACAAACTAAATCAAGTTAAAGTAAATTAATTAAATCAAATTAAATTAACTACATTAAATTAAATTAAATTAAATTAAATTAATTAAATTAAATTATATTAAGTAAACTAATTAAAAAAAAAAACTCACCAAGTCCAGCGCATGCTGCAGCATCAAAGCCGCGGTGACTTCGGGGTCAACTGAAGCTGCAATTTCCTGAAAATTGAACAAATTTTTACGTTTTCCAACAAGTTAAATATCATTTTTCGAGATTTTTGATTCTTTTTTGCATGCGTTTTTGTTTTTAATGCATTATATTCTGTTTTTAATGCATTTTACTCGTTTTTTAATGCATTTGGTTCTTTTTTTAATGCATTCTGATGTCTTTTTCAAAAACAGATCTTTCAAATTTTCCACTTTTCCGGACTCTACACTTCGCCGTGTTTGCGTTATATTTTATTATTTTTATTTTATTTTATTTTATTTTTATTTTTATTTTATTTTATTCTTATTTTATTTTTATTCTTTTCATTTTATTTGTATTTACTTTTATCGGCTTATTTAGATTTCATCTATTCCACAAGTATTTGATTTTGCTTATTAAATAAGTCAGTAATGAATAACAAAGGATGAATGAAAAACAAATGAAAAACAAATGAAAAATAAATGAAGAATAAATGAAAAACAAATGAAAAATAAGTGAAAAATGAACGGAAAATAAATGAAAAGTAAAGGAAAAGTAAATGAGAAACAAATGAAGAACAAATGAGGAACAGATGAAAAACAAACGAGAAATAAACGAAAAACAAAAAACAAAAAAATAAACAAACAAAACAAAACGAATGAAAACAAGTGGGAAATGGAGCACTGGAGGGGCTAGAAAGTGTGTTTTTCCGGAGTTTCAAGACCGAAAAAGGGCGAAAAAGTGCGAAAAAAGGCGGAAAAAAAGCGGAAAAAGAGCGGACAAAAGGGACTTCGGAAGTTGGAAAGAAAAAGAGGAAAAAGTCTGGAAAAAAGAAAAAAAAAAAGCCAACCTGCATGTTTTGGGTGAGGGGAATGCAAAACGTGTGGACGCGGATGCGGCGCTCGCCGTCGCTGTTGGTGTAGAGCAGCGCGGCCTGCAGCGTGACCGCAGCAGCAGCAGCAGCAGCAGCAGCAGCAGCAGGCTCCGCAGCAGCTTCCTCGGGCTCCAGAGAAATGCTGAAACTCTGGTCTTCGTTCACAGATGGCAACACAAAAAGGTCACTTCCTCGCAAGTAAAACCTCCCGTGGCGCTGCGCCACTCGCCAGCCCCGCGTCACCCGAATCCGCATCACCGCCTCCCACCTGCGCGCAGCGCCCAGCTAGCCACCAGCTAGCTAGCTAGCTAGCTGGCTAGCTAGCCAGCTCGGCTGGCTAGCTGGCTAGCTAGCCAGCGACTTAGCTAGCTAGCTGGCTGGCTAGCTAGCTAACTAGCTAGCTAGCTGAAGCTAGCTAGCTGGCTAGCTAGCTAGCTAGCTGAAGGGCAGCTAGCTGGCTAGCTAGCCAGCTAGCTGGCTCGGGTGTAGATGGGTAGCTAGCTAGCTAGCTGGAGGGTAGCTAGCTCGCTAGCTGGCTAGTTTAAGAGTTGCTAGCTAGCTAGCTACCTAGTTGAAGGGTAGCTAGCTAGCTAGCTAGCTAGCTAGCTAGCTAGCCGAGGCACAGCCACCTAGCTCAGGTATGGCTGGCTAGCTAGCTAGCTGGCTGGACATACAAATGAATAGCTGGACAGATGGGCAGCTAGACAGATAGCTAGCTGGTTAGCTAGCTAGCTAGACAGCTAGCTGGCTGGACGGATAGCTAGCTACCGAGCTAGCTAGAGAGGGCTAGCTAGTTAGCGAGTTAGGGAGAGAGCTGGCTAGCTGCATCTGGCCAGCTAGCCAGCTAGCCAGCTAGCTCTATATCTCTAGCTAGCCAGCGAGCCAGCTAGTCAGCTAGCTAGCTAGAGATATAGAGCTAGCCAGCTACAGCTGACTGTCTAGCTAGCTGGTCAGCTAGCTAGACAGCTAGCTGCACCTGGCTGGCTGGCAAGTTAGCTACTTAGCTAGCTTGCTAGTTGCAGCTAGCCAGCAGGGTTTAGGGTTTAGGGTTTAGGGTTTAGGGTTTGTTTACCCGGTGACTCTGGAGAGGACTCTGTCGATTTCTTGTTTGAGTTTTTCTCCATGTTGCTGCTGCGAAAATCCCGGATAATATCGAAGTTCTCCAGAAGTATATTGAGAAAGAGCAGCAAAAGAAGCAAGATCGAAGAAAGAAGCTCCTGCTGCTGCTGCTGCTGCTGCTGCTGCTGCTGCTGCTGCAGGCGCAGCAGCAGCAGCACCCAGAGGCGCGCCGTTCGAGGCCCCACGCGCCCCGTAACCCCCAGCAGCAGGGGGGGCCCCCTGGCCTGCTGCTGCTGCTGCTGCTGCTGCTGCTGCTCCAGCAGCAGGAGGACACAAAAACAAATCCACAGAAAGCTGGTTTTGCGTCAGCTGCTGTCCCAAAGTCTGAACAACCGCGCGTAAACCCTAAACCCTAAACCCTAAACCCTAAACCCCAAACCCTCAAAAAACCTAGATCTAGATCCTAAACCCTAAACCCTAAACCTTAGCCCTGAGCCCTAACCCTAAGGGCTAAACCCTAGCCCGAAACCCTAAACCCTAGCCCGGCCGCTAATCCCTAAACCCCAAACCCTAAACCCTAAACCCTAAACCCTAAACCCTAAACCCTAGGCCGCGGAGAGGCTCGCCTGGTACGCGTCTGAGGCGGGTTTGAGGAGCTCGCTCTCCCTGTCAGCAGCAGCAGCAGCAGCAGCAGCTTTGTCTCTTGCTGCTTCCCGCTGCACCACTGCGTCCCCCACTGTGGGGGGCCCAGCAGCAAACAGCAAAATCTTTCCCCCCACATGTTTGGCCACCAGTGCTGCAGCTTTTAGCGCGCTTCCCTGAATAAATAAATAAAAATTTTTTAAATTTATTTATCATTTATTTATTTATTTGTTTGTTTGTTTGTTCTGAGTATACACTTGGTGGTAGCTTCTCCGGGCGAGCCGGAACAGCAGCAGAAGAGAAAGCCGCGCAGCAGCAGCAGCAGCAGCACAACAGCAGCAGCAGCGGCACAACAGCAGCAGCACAACAGCAGCGGCAGCAGCGCCACCACCACCACCCCAGCACCAGCAGCACAACAGCAACAGCAGCAGCAGCACCGCCACCAGCCCAGCAGCAGCAGCAGCAGCAGCAGCAGCAGCAGCAGCAGCAGCAGCAGCAGCAGCAGCAGGTCACCATGCAGCTGTCGGTGCAGGTGTTGTTTCTCCAGATTTCCGGGATTGCTTTGAGGGTGTTCAAAACTGTCTCCTTTGTCTCCAAAAAGGAGACAAAAAGGTCATCTGCGAGCGGGAGGAAAATGTCCTCGACCTGCGGCACGACGAGCACCTGCGGCCGCAGCTGCTGCTGCTGCTGCTGCTGCTGCTGCTGCTGCTGCTGCTGGTGAAGGGCGTAGAAGTGGACGCTGGCGTCGAAGGTGAGAATGCCCACGAGGGCCCTGCGGCCGCCGGGGAGCCTGTTTGCTGCCAGTGCTGCAGCAAGGCCCTCGCAAGCAGCAGCAACGAGGCCAGCAGCAGCAGCAGCAGCAGACACATCTATCAAAAAGACGTAAGCCGGCGGCTGCGGGGGCCGAATCATGTAGTCCCCGGGAGCGACGATCTCGATCGATCCCAGGGACAGTTCGGGACGATCCCGGCGGTCCTCGCGGCGGCCCCGGGTGTCTAGACACCGCAAGTAAAACTGTGGGGTTTCGTTCAAAACCCCACAGATGCAGCAGCACCACTTTCTTCCTGCTGCTTCCCAGGAGACAAAAGGGTTTATGTAGGTCCTGCAGCGTTTGCAGCGGACCACGGCGCCTGCGCCGAACGAGACGCTGGGCACTTCTGCTGCTGCTGCTGCTGCTGCTGCTGCGC